TTAATAATAGATAAATATTAATATTTTTTTTATTTGTGAGCTTCAATACAATAAAATTTCAAGTTGATTCAATTTTCAAAAAGCCGATTTCTCTTAAATAATAACCAAAAATCTTCACAAAATTTTTTCCACACCTTTAAAATAAAGATATTGTTTTGATAATTTATATATCAAAAAAAAAAAAGAAATTCATTAATTTTTTTAAGTTAATGAAAAGCACTCTTAAGTCAACAGAACAACTTTATGAGATTTTTGCTTGAGTTCATTAGTTTGGAGAACGAATATTTACTGCTATTTTAGAGATATTTGGTAAGGAAAAAGTTGAAGACGCAATTGGATATCTTTCAGATATAGGTAATCTAAGTCATTTCGTATAAAATATTTTTTAAGTTGAAAATATATAAAGTTTCGATTAGTGGTGGAAATTAGACTTTTTTTGTTTCAAATCACATTAAGAAAATTACTAGAGTTCTAAGATAAATCCAAGATCATGACTTTAATCAAATAGACTCTACAAGTTACAATTAAGAATCGACAGAAAATCTAATTAAAAGTCTTGAGGATGATAGATTGTTCATAGAATTTTTGGAATTTTTAGTTCACCTCACATCCATCGATATAACTTTAATATAATTTGGGTTCAATTCATTACATTTATTAGTTTAGATGATGGTAGACCTTAGAAAGAAAAATTTCCAAAATATTAAGTTCTAAAATACATCCCTATTAGGGGCTAATTTAGTTAGGTGTAATTTTAGCCTAATTAAAAATGTCAACATAAGTGGAATAAATCTGAATGGGGCGTAATTAATTAATTGTAAATGAAGAGACTTATGAATCTCTGAATTAAATAAATTACATGGTCATCGTTGATAATACAGTCTGTTTCTCTCTATATGGAAATAAATCAAAGAGGCAAAAACAAGGGGTGAAAAATTATGAAAAGAGCATTATGAACTCAACATCATCCTTTTTAAATCAAACAGTACACCCTATTTAAAGCTTAGAATCAAAAACCATTTATTATTATTTATTAATTAATATCAAAAGTATTAGATATTATTTAAGACTGAAAAGATATATAAATCATCGAGAAGTAGAATATTATTGAAAGGATTAATATTGAAGGAAATCATTATATCTTCCTTTACCATCTAATCTTTTCAAAGAGTTTACTGATAAAATTATCAATTGGTTTGGAGATTATCAAATTCCTAGTTAATTTAGTGCATTAGATTCTGTTAAGAATAAAGAATTAAGTAGTGTGTATGCTTGAATGATTTCTCATTATAATATCAATTACAATCAATTCTAAATCTACACAAAGTCTGAACTTTTATTTTTGTCAAAAATAAAGAAGATACTTTTATCAATTATGCAGTATATAACTTATAGTTAGAGTAATAGAAATTCAATATTAATAATAAAAAAAAATGCAGGGCCCTTTTGAAGATAAGGAAGCTCTAGCTGACATATTTACTTAAGTAAAAGATGTAGATGAGCAAATATTTGATGTCATATTAAAAATATTTAGTAAGGAAAAAGTTTAAGACTGTATTGGATATTTTTCAGATATTGAGAATCATAGACATTTAGAATAATCAATCTTCCAACAACAAGAATACTTAAAACTAGTCGATGAGTAATAGAAATTGCACGATGTTAGAAATAAAATAAACAAAATTACAAATGTCTTAAAAAAATTAAAAGATCATTAGTTCAATAACAAAGATTTTTCAACAGAAGAAAATTATAAATCTACTTTAGATCTAATTAACAGAATAAAGGATGAGAGATAAACTATATAATTCCTAAAATTTTTAGTTCACCTCACAACTATAGTAGAACAATTCATTCAATGTGGATCAAATTCACTATGTTTATTAGTTGAAATGAAGGTAGATTTGACAAAAAAGAATTTTGAAAATATAAAGATTAAAAACACCTAGTTGATTGGAGCTAATTTTTCAAGATGTAATTTGAATGGATCTCATTTTGAAAATGTAGATATAAGTGGAATGAACTTAAATGGTGCCTAATTATTTTATTGTAAATGGAAAAATATTAAAATTAATGAATTAATTTTTTTTGATTGTCAGGGGGAAGTGTCAAATCTATATGTTTCTCTCCTGATAGCAGTACGATAGCATTATGTTGTAAGGACAAGTCTATCCGTTTATAGGATATAAAAACAGGAAAAGAAATATTTAAGTTCGATAATCATAGGGATTTTGTATTTCGGCATGTTTCTCTCCTGATGGCAAAACATTAGCCTCTTGTAGTAAGGATAAGTCTATTTTGTTATGGGATCTTTAGGCTGGATAACAAGTATTGAAATTTTATAAAATGAAATTAGAAGGACATAGAGATTGCATATGTACAGTTTCATTTTCTCCAAAAGGAGATGAAATAGCATCAGGCAGTAATGATAAAAAAATCATTTTATGTGATTCTAAAACAGGATAACCAATTAGAAAATTAGTAGGCCACAATGGAATTGTTTTGGCAATATGCTTTTCTCCTTCAGGTTCTATATTAGCATCTGGTAGTCGAGACAACTCTATATGTTTATGGAATACATAGACAGGTTAACAATAATCATAACTATATTGTAATGGAGGTTATATTCAATCATTATGCTTTTCTCCTGATGGTACTACATTAGCATCTGGTAGTTCATATAGCATTTTGTGTGTATGGACTGTGAAGACAGGAAAAGAAATATTTTAAAAAGATTGTTAAATTGGAATTATTTTTTCTATATAATTTTCACCAGATGGTACTACTTTAGGATCTGGTAGCGAAGATAATTCTGTTCACTTATGGAATTCTAAGACGAGTGAACAAAAATTAAAATTGCTTGGCCATAGCAATTATGTAAGAACAGTTTCATTCTCCCCTGATAGTACAACCTTGGCATCTGGTAGTGATGATTATTCTATCCGTTTATGGAATCTAAAAACAGGTTAAGAAAAATCTAAATTAGATGGTCATCATGACTGCGTATTATCAGTGTGTTTCTCGCATGATGGAAAAAAACTTGCTTCTAGTGGAATTGATGTATCTATCTGTATCTGGGATGTATAAGAAAAATTCACCTTGGATAGTCTGTAAGATAATATGCCTTTAGCATGTATTTCACCAGATGGAAATACATTAGCTTCTGGTAGTTATGATAACTCTATCCGTCTATGGGAGGTCAAAACAGGATAATAAAAAGCCTAATTAGATGGTCATACTCATTATGTTATATGGGAAATCAAAAACAAGTATTGTTCAGATTATATATTTAAAGAAATTTAGGTTAAAAATACAAGATATCCTTTTTTAACACACTTTGCAGTAAAATAATATTATTTAACATTTAGATACATCTAATATTATGGTTTACCCAGACTTCAATTTTTCAAGTTTTAAGAGAGTTGTTTATAAAAAACCGTTTCCTTTTAGGAGAATTATTGGAGTAAATTATAATTTCTTACCATAAAACTTGATTAATTTAAAAACTAACATAAATTAACCCTTAATTTAAATCTATTTTAATATACTTCTTGTGTCCAATATTTGTTGATAGAGTTCTATTTTATAGTTTTTTCTTTTTTAAAATTCTTGAAGCATTACTAAAATTTAAATTAATTTAGCACATTTTAAAATATTATGAAATAGAACTTTTAGTTGCATGAATGCAATAATATCTTAATTCTTTGTATACTTTTTTTTTGGTATTATTCTTATCATAACCAAGCATTTTCT